TAGGGAAAAAGCTTGACTGGAGAAGCTGACTTTAGGAACAACACTCTGGATTGGGATGGTACAATTTAATTTTTAAACACTATCACTTAGAACAAAAATTAGATTTTTGTACAAGATACAGTGATATGTCTTGTACAACTGCTTTTGATGTAGTTGATCAATGTTATGAAGAAAAGGGAATAGCAGAGGAGAAGGGTGTAGAGAAAGCAAGAAGAGGGAGAAAGAATGACAACACTTTAATAACAAAATATTTCTGCATTTTCTTATATCATGGTAGTTGTTGTTCCTACTTTCAACTCTTCCAAAGGGAAAGAAAGGGGATCATATCTCCTTTGTTAGCAGGTAGCACTCCAGAGCTTGTAAAAAATATAAAATGGAAAAAAAGCAGGAGAAGGGTGTAGAGAAAGCAAGAAGAGGGAGAAAGAATGACAACACTTTAATAACAAAATATTTCTGCATTTTCTTATATCATGGTAGTTGTTGTTCCTACTTTCAACTCTTCCAAAGGGAAAGAAAGGGGATCATATCTCCTTTGTTAGCAGGTAGCACTCCAGAGCTTGTAAAAAATATAAAATGGAAAAAAAGCGCCAAAACATAAAGGATGAGAACAATGCAATGCAACATTAAAGGTAGAGATTAATGAACTACCATCATTATTAACCCAAGTGAAAGTATTTACATGGCCGTCAGTAACTACATATCTTTAGGGAAAAAGCTTGACTGGAGAAGCTGACTTTAGGAACAACACTCTGGATTGGGATGGTACAATTTAATTTTTAAACACTATCACTTAGAACAAAAATTAGATTTTTGTACAAGATACAGTGATATGTCTTGTACAACTGCTTTTGATGTAGTTGATCAATGTTATGAAGAAAAGGGAATAGCAGAGGAGAAGGGTGTAGAGAAAGCAAGAAGAGGGAGAAAGAATGACAACACTTTAATAACAAAATATTTCTGCATTTTCTTATATCATGGTAGTTGTTGTTCCTACTTTCAACTCTTCCAAAGGGAAAGAAAGGGGATCATATCTCCT